TGTTTGGTGGGATGCGGATTCGAACCCGCGACCCTCAGATTGTGAGTCGAGCGCCTTATCCACCTGGCCATGCCGGGCCCCACTAGGGGATAATCCTGTACAAAGCATGCGGCTATTTATACACAACCATCCGTTTTATACATGTAAATTAGATACTAATAAATGCTATTAAGATATGTCGTTTTTTGTTCTATCTTGAGAAAGCATTCTTTCCTAAAACCAGACACTTGCCCCAATACCGTAGATGTAGCTTAAGTTACGACAATTTTACCATAATTCTATTCTCTGATGTTATTGGGTTCCATATTTAAAATTTAATATCTATTTACTAGTTTTCTTGAACATTTTGGTTGTAGTTTAGTATGGTACATATATTACATGAAAGTAATTTGTATGTATAAGCGCAAAGCTATAGAAATGTTTCTGCGCTCTGTACATCACTGAAAACGAACCGAGGATTTTAGTGTTGTACAAAGTGCATAAACTTACCGTTAACCCAGTAGGAGGACCATGAAAGTAATACCACGACTCTTTCTGTCAGTAAGGTTAATATTTGCAGCGTCATTAACGCGTGAATAAAGTCATACATGTGAACGTGCTGAATGCACTGGATCGTATTTATCCGACATCAAAATAAAAACTTTAAATTCAATCCGGTATTAACCAAATAAAGTATGTCTTACTGTATTGGGTAGATTTGATTTAATGAGTTAATGTTTGTTTGTTGAATTTCGCAAAAAGCTATCAGCGGGCTATATGTTCTTGTCGTCCCTAATTTTCATTTGATTGGCTAAAGTGAAGACAACTTAACCCACCTCCAACTCGTGATCTTCTATGATCGAATAGTGGGATGTAACAGTTACTTTTAAATTGTATCTACCCCCCAGTGGCACAGGGGCATGTCTGCTGACTTACAACGCTAAAGCCCCCCAGTGGCAAAGCGGTATGTCTGCGGACATACAACGCTAGAATCGGGTTTCGATACCCGTGGTGGGCAGAGCACAGATAGCCCTTGTGTAGCTTTGTGCATAATTAAAAAACAAACAAACAATACAAAATTGTTTGAACTACATGTATGCGACGTCGTCTTCACGCATCTAAATTCATATCTGGAGGAACTTGTGAGTAGGCTATCAACGTTTGTACGTCATAAACCGAAACACAGCTTAATATTTATTGTGTTACTCACACGACAATAAATATTCCCCCCATTTATTATCTCGTTTTATGGTTATTATTATTATCACATAACTATTTTCCTTAAGCAACATAAATAAGTTAGCATACTTATACTTTCTCATACAGTCAAGATATATCACGGACTAAGCTCTTATTTAATGAATATTTAGTAATGATTACTCTTGGCTCGTATTTGAGATTCTGGAAACATAGCTATATGTGTTTTTCTATTTTTAGGGATACCAATCTGGAGTCTCTAAAAGACGTATTAACATTAACTTCTAGAGCCAATAGCATTTAAGTGACAAGATGCTTTTTCAAACATGAAAAATAATAAAATTTTTAAAAAGTTCTAAGCATTTTGTTTCAAACGCTTTGCAGCAGTCTTTCGTGAAATACAACTTTTATTACTCGAATAAAACGTTTTCGAAGTTTTGTTTTCTGTAAATCATGGTATTTTGATCACTTTACGGAAGAAAAAATTAAATTAAATTACTTAATAGGTCTAGTTTATCAGATCTATCAAAGGCAACTATGTAGATTGAAAGTCGTAAGGTTTCAAATAAATTTTCCGTTTCTCAGTATTACATGGTCCTAAGTTATAACTAAAATAATCATTACTATTTTCTCTCAAAGAAATTCGAAAAAACTGTAAAACTTTCCTTTAATGTTCGAAATAAATCAGGCTAGGAGTAACAGTGACATTCCAACTAGTCTTCGGCTGTTGAAACGTATTCATTCATTCCGGAGATTTAACTTACAAGTTGAGTCATTACTGTCTTATTTGATAATTTGTTACAAGTATTCATGTGCATATCCTTTGTTGTGTAATGTTGGTTTTAAGGAAATGCATCAATCTTTAAGTTTTCAAGACAACAAAAGCTGTAAGTAAGAATAGACAAATCTGTTATATAGATGTCAGAATACATGCAGAATTTCACATATTTCTAGTGAATTGTGATACATATTGTTTTGATAAAAAAATGACTGGCAGAAGGTTGATATGTTACGGTTTGTATGCTTCCTTGAACGATCTTTGTAGTATATTCCTGAACTAGTTAACAACTATAGAAGGTAGATCCACTACCAGCTACATTATTTTTCAGAATATTAATTGCTACCTTTCTAAGTACTGGCGGTTTCCACAAAAAGATTCTACAAAGAACTGTTGGACTGAAAAGAGAAGTACGTCTTTCGTTGTTTTAATGTTTTCGAACTGAAGATATAAAAGCCGAACTACTATATATATTTATACTTATCATCATCACGAAAGAACTACATTTGGTATTATGGATTACTAAAGAGTGTATTATACATTATAAACAACTGTCCTGAATAACATATATTTTGTAATTATATTAAAATACACACAAAATAAAAACAAATAGAGTCTTGGGTGAATATTTCAGAATGATCTAACACTTGAGTATAGCTAACCTTAAAACTTTTCTTTCCAGATTTGTGATCGATTGGTTAAAGTTTCATTAGCGAGCGTCTACACCAATCTTTTCATTTCGTTCCGATATTTAATGATTTGCAGGTTTTATACAATCATTCCACAGTATACGTGCATACTCCACTTTGTTTATTTAGCGAAAAGTTGCAGGATGGACTAGTTGTATTGTGTGTTTTTCAGTTGTCTTGTCAACTACTGTTACTTTAATTAGAAAAATTTACATCAGTGCAAGATGAAACACGAAGTTAATTTTTGAAAATTGCAATAACAAATTCTGAGTTTCGTTTTTATTTGTACCAAATTTATAAAATATTAATTCTAAAATCTATACAAGAATATGAAACATTTATCCAAAACGTTAGATAAAAATTATAATAAATTTAAAAAGATATGCAATGATTTTATGCTACACTAAATTAATTAAACAGCCACCATCGGTAAGTTACTAGAACATCCGCTATAGCGTCTGGTTGAAAAAAATTCACTTAAAAAATTAGCTATCAATGTGAGAAATAAAGAACACGGAGTTTTAACTACCAAACTTTACAGTAATTTTATAAACTGAACTTTAAAAACTATATTTGATATACGTCGGTTAATTGCTCGTAAAATTAAATTTTTGAATTATTCTAATAAATGACAAAAAAAGACTATACTGAATGAACGCGTACAGAATAATTTAATATTGGAAGACCCATTAAATCTACCCAAAGAATTAAAAGAGATAAGATAACTAATGCGCTCAGCACCTGAAATACATAAATTATCTTGTTTATTATATGTTTGTTAAGGTAATTTCAAATTAAGCACGATCTCAAAGATAGATACAAACCCCTTCAGGGAATTTATGCAGAAAACACTTTACAATTTCTAAACCACCCTAATTTTTAATATAACTAACAAATATGTTGGAAAAAAAAAGATGAAAATTTCATGTTTTTTTCTTGTTACAGAAAGTAAAGTAAAATTAATAGTAATGAAAATGCAACTAAAGACTGTTGAAAACGAATGCATTTCATGTACAAATTAAGTTTCCATTGTATAAAAGAAAAACAAAACACTGAGAAGGCTGCAAATTAAGACCAATTGTAAGAAAAAGTTTACACTATATGAAATAATATAGAAAACGAAATAAAACACATTTCAACTTGTTTTTTCATCAAATTCTTTAATATGAATTTGTGTTCTGCATTTTTGCCTGAGTTATTCATTATGAGGCAAGTATACCAAAGTACAAAGCTGAGTATTGAAACGATTTTGAATATGCAAATCAGCAAGTCACGTGACAAACACAGCCAATATAAAGTTGCTGTAGAAAGTTATTTATCAAAACTATATTTTGAAATTGATTGACGTTTCGTAGGTAGTGTAATGCCACCGAAAATTGAACACTTTCGGGAAAGCACGTAGCAACCCCTTTTCAACACACAATATTCATACACTAAGATCATAAAAATGTGTTCGGATCAGGGATTTAGAATTCTCAAGAAATGGATATCCTTTGTACTTAATGGCATTGGAAACCAAATCAATATGGGTTAGCTTAGAGTACTAGGACCATCCAGAAAGAGATCAGCGACAAGTCATGCCCCATTGTTTTGTAACAGGTGGCAATCCACGAATGCAAATATTAGTGGAAAAGGCACAACAGTCAAGTCGTCGGACGCAGTGCCTATGGATTTCTATGCAATCGGACTTTTTAAAGTGCCGCTAAGAAACCATCGTTCTGATACACCAGATGTATTATGGAAGGCAAGTAAGGAGGAGTGGTGTGCTCTGAACATAACACCCTTACGCCAGAGCCATTTTCAATGCAAACTACACTGCGGAGCTATTATCAAGATGTGGCATTGTCGGAGAGAGCATGACCGGACGTTGTGATATGGACTGTCACGAGGTAGTAAAAGTCGTTTATCTATAAAAGTCACAGTGAAAGAGTTACACCATCTAACAATCGATATCATATTGATTTATATAAACTTGCATCAAACAAACTCTACAAACCTTCTGGACCATTAGGTGAAGCCAAGCATCTAACCCCAGAAAGGAAAGGAAATGTTTGCTTTTCACTGCAGTAAAAAAAAATCTGTTTATTGAATTTCTCTCAAAGCTAGCTGTCCTTATTTTTGAAGTGATAGACTAGAGGGAAGGCAGATGGTCAGAACCATCCACTGCCAACTCTTGGGCTACTTTCTATCAACGAATGGGGAGATTGACTATCGCATTATTGACTCTCGCACGGCTGAAAGGGTGAACATATTCGGTGACAGTTTTCGTTTCTGCAACCCGCCGATTGCGAATGGAAAGAAAAGAAGACCTATTCATCACATATACTATTAAGGGAAACACAATGGCTGATACTTACGTGTTCACTTTCCAAGAAGACCATTGAGCCATATTTTAACATCATGTTGCTGCGGAGTCCAACACCAGCTACAAATAACGCGTCTTTTAAGAGAGATATCAGTGCTCTCAAGATGAACGAAATGAACAGTTGAATGTGAAGGTTGTTTCTGGGACAGCGAAGTCGCCTGAGAAAAGAATAGGCATTAAGTATAATACAGTTGCTCTGGTATCATAAATATACCCTGATATGCAAAAACATTGGAAACGATGAAAATCATTACAACTAGTGACAATCTTGATTAACAATAATTCAGAAACTCAACTTTAGATTTACTCTTGAAATGAAAAAAATATTGAACGAAGTTAAAAAATATTTAAGAAAATTGATGCAATTTTAATTAGTTACTTTTTAAAGTTAAAATGCAAAAAAACTCTCACCTAGTGCTGACAAATAGAAATAACATTTATCTAAAACAAAAAAGGCAGGATGAAAATTGACAGAAAACTAATAGAATTGGAAGGACTAGTTTGACTTAAGCCAGAATCTAAATAGGCAAAGTAAGAAATACATAGGTAGTAATAATTTTATTTTATCCTCGTTACAATTAAAGTAACCAAAGCATAACATGATAGCAAATGAACAGAATTTGATTTAATTAGCTGAGTTTGTTTGAAGTTAAGCACAAAGCATTGGACTATCTGTGCTCTGCCCACCACGGGTATCGAAACCCGGATTCTAGCGTTGTAAGTCCGCAGACATACCGCTGTGCTACTGGGGGGCAATTAGCTGAGAAAAGAAAAATCAAACTCTTCAGACAAAAAAAAAAAGTGAAGTAATATATTTTGGCTTACGCCAGAAGTAAAAATTGGCAGGAAGAACCATGAAGAAAATTAATTATGAATTGCTTATGTGAGTAAAGGTAAGAATAAAATAATAAATAAAAAACGATAGGGAACTTAAGTAATTTTGCAGAACTGAAATAGCTAAAAAGATTTTACCAGAATATTAATGAAATATAATTTACCTACCGGACTAAAGCCAAAATCAATACGGCTATGAGAAGAGTCGATAAAGATACAATGTATCCGATTTTGGAAATAAGTTTGATCGTGAGAATATGGTGCTAGAAAGAAATAAGAACAATACAAATTTTATGATCTCATCTGATTTTACACTACAATAGAGTTATGCATAACAACCATAGAAATTTCAGTTTATTTATCAAGTTTTTGCAATTTTGATTTGATTTCTTTGGAAAAATACAAGTACAATAGACAAACATACCCTGTTGAGCTAATTTTCAAAATACGCTTGAGTTTACTAAATATATCAAAAACACGGTAGAACCTACGTGTTTTGCATTACTTAATAGTAGTAGTTTTACTAAAACTATTCATCATTTTTCAGTGTTAGCGGAAACAGAACTAAACGTTAGAATTACGAAACTGTGAAGTGATGGTTTAGTTAGAACCTCATATGTACTACTAGTTCAAAACATTAATTTTGAACGAACTTGATGAGGTGTATGTTCATGTAAGTAGTTAACAATAATTATTTATTTTAAAGTTAAAAACTTACTGGTAACTACGTGATTTACACTTTTCCTACGGCTACTCGGGGTATAAGCTAAGCTTCATCCCGTTCATTTCTTTTCATTCTCAAGATTTTCATGTGGATTGTTTGTTTGCTACGTAAAGGTAAGTGTATTTAAGGAAAAAGTCAGCGCCTTATATTACTTTCTCTGAAGTAATCACGGGATGTTTGAAACCCAACAAGTTAACTCTCTGAAACGTTTGAAACTCAACGAGTTAATAATCCGGAATGTTTGAAACTCGACAAACTAACAGATTAGATTAAGTTATTCTTATTAAACAACTCGCAGCCGATCCATTCAAAGAATAATAACAAAGATAGATCATCATCACTTCGTCAAATTGATTCATTAATCAACAAAAGTTTGAATATTTAATCCTAAACCGTGCTACCTTTTGTTTCTTGCACCCCCTTTCTACAGATATTAGCACTTGAAAGAACTTCCACAAAGCCTTACATGTTAGGAATTAGCTGCTAAGCTACAGGAGCAGTGTAACCTTGAAGCCAAATTATTACCTACGGACGACTTACAAATTGAGTATCGTTTCGAAGGTTCGGGTAACGTAAGACGGAAATATACGGAGAAAGAAAATGGCTACTGAAGATGTTCTTTGTACGTGTACTCAACGAACACAACCGGAATCACATCGTGTAATGGGCGGAAACTTTGATAACAAGCATGATTTCAATCGTTAGCAGGAGTTATCAATACGATAAATGTTGTCGGAGCACATTTCGTGAGCTCTAGCAAGCAGGAACAATAGCCCATCTTTCTTGTGGAAAAGTATTAAAGCAGGGAATGTACTACATGTACGCAGGAAATACTGTGATGACATTTCGTGAAATGAATTAGGTTTACCAGTTTCTCTAAGTGTAGCAGTGTAGTTTTTCGTTTGGAGTATTTCTTAGAATTACTGGAATTTGTGAGAGCATTATGATAATAGTTCTAGTTGTTAAAAATGATTTGATTATTAGTTTACCTTTATTGATTAGTTGGGTAACCGCTCCAATTTTTAAAGGGAGTCTAATTAAGACTGATTTAGAGTCTTCAAATGATAACTAACTTAACTGACTCACCTTCAATGGCCTGGAAAGTATTTTTTCTCCTAGTTATTGTTCTATAAACTTGTATTGAAAATTATATATAACATTTCATAATTCTCCTGTGCATCTAGTTTGAACCTAATCTGCTACTTACTGATCTTTTGCAAACATTACTCTCAGATGTGCTGACTCTACGTCAGTTTAGACTGTTTCTTTTTATTCAACGTGAGATTGTCGATACAACAAGTTCTTAAGAAATTAGAGTTTATGCAAATATGGGATTGGGCTCAGCTATCAGAGATGACACCACACTCAGCATTTGATAAGAGTTCAAACTGACCTAACGTATCTTAGGATTCTTTTTGTGTATTTTTATAAATACACCACCTTGAAACGTTTAAGTTCACATTTTTCCTTTATCTTCAGTTGCATTTTGATACCTGCTTGGATTTCTGTATAAACAATTTTTTTAGCGTAATTTTCTTTCTTTTTTATATTTCTCAGTTTTTCTTTTCTAAAATTGTTGTCCAGAAGCACTAACTGAATATTATTTTGTTTCACACAAGCCATTGCATTAAAAGCCAATATCTAAATCATTCAAACCTCCGGTTTTATGGAGACAAGCTCACCCATGTACCACGTAAGTTTTGATAGACTAAATGTCATAACTTCATTCCATCTGTATGGTAAGACACTGTTCTGGTTGCATAAATGGTTGTGGTATTACACTAATTTCTTTATTAATTACTTAAAACTAATAAGCAACTCCTTGACATTATACTGTAAAAAAATTGTCTGTGACTAATTTACCAATAACTATGTGCAAATAATTCAAACAAAATATTCAACACTGGTAGGCTTAACATTGCAGGAGGTGCTAATTGAGTGGCAAAAATAGCAAGTCCATGCATAACAAGATCGAAAACCTTTCAAAATCTTTAAAAAATGGTTTATTATATAATCGATAGAAGAACTTCGTACGATTCACTGTAGCCTTTGTACTATTATCCTGAAATGAAAACCTTTCAAACTACATTGTGGAATAAGAACTTTTAAGGCAGATTCTTGATGGCCTTTCAACGTATCTGTTTGCAGAAATCAAAATGCGGATTGAATTCTATTAAAAGACGGAAAGAACATGTAGTTAAAATAAACTATGAAGTAAGAAATCCATTAAATAATCTTTACTGAAGAGAACGATTGATTTTCAAGACGACCCTAATGAGTCAAATTTAAAGTGGCAATTTGCATAAAAAGAAAAACAAAAAAAGGAGAGAAATTCCCAGAGTGTATAAAGTTCAGCGTCTTAATGTTTGGTTGATAAGAAATGAGAGGATAACACGGCAAAATCAAATTAATGACGTTATTTGCGTTCCGCGTGAGTAAATGAGGCAACTTATTGGAAACCGTGCAGACGTAATTAGTCCCCTTCCGCACATGTTGTGTAAAATCCACAGAAAGCTTTCGACTTTCGAGATATCTTCCGGAGACGGAAAAGATCAGTCAACCGCGCTATCCTGGGTTTCATTAAGTGTAGAACAAAACCTTCAAGTTATACATGTGCTACTCTGTAAACATATTATCTAGAAGCAAACATTACTCAAATCTCATTGAGGTTACTCTCTCTCCAGTCAATCGGAAGCTCTTAAGTTGGCGATTTTTGTTGAACAATTTTTGAGTTTATAAACTTATTCCACTGTCTTTTACGTTTTTGGATTAAGATTAAACTTTAAATATTATGCTATTTTACGGAAAAAATCAGAATGATAATCTTTTAATGTGACTCGACTTAATTCACACATTTATCCTAACGCGTGAGGATAAGAAGGGGTTGATTACGTTTTCTCAGATCAGTTCTTTGTTATTGTTTCATTTCACCTCTTTTTTCCCGTTATTATTTCACTGTCCACGAGGCTGTAAGTTATGTCTGCATTATTTCGTAATCACAGGGTTATCATTATTTTATAGTGATTTTTAATGCTTTTAACGTTTTGGATAATGTTGAACGTGTTCTTTATTTGGTACCAATATAGTTTCATTTCTGGCTAATAATTTAGTTATTTGATGTTGACATATATAATGGCTCTACTAGAAATTTTCCTACAAATAAGTATGTGAACTGGAGGCCGAAACTTCAGGTACTTGAACGCGAAAACTTAGTTTGTTTAGTAAGCAGAGAAACGATCCGAAACCCGCATTGTTTTTGTTTGTTTTGGAGCAAAGCCACATTGGACTATTTGCCATGTCTACCGCGGGGAATTGAACCCCGGCCTTTAGCGTTTTAAGGCCATAAAATTACCACTGTCCTACCGGGGAACGCGTTGTTTCTGTTTAAGTTGCCATAAGTTAATATTTCTGTTATTGTATCAAACTCTTGAAATTCACTGAGCAATGATATTTCATAAACGTCGCAAGTATATTATTAGAGAAAATCTGTCCTGATGTGTACATCTCTCTGTTTAAGGAGGAATAACACTTAAATTATCATTGAGTTTGTTATGTTTATCGTTACGTTTACTGTATATCCTAACAATGAAGTAAAAAAATATATAACTTAATATACGCCATCAATTTCACTGAGGCACTAAAACTAGGACCATATACGAATTAATAGGCTATAGTAAATTCTGTTTGGAAGACGTTTTAGTTTTCTGCATTAGTAAGAAAAAACAACAACAAAAACAATCTGCTTTCAGTGTATATATATACATTACTTACCTTTAACGAGAAGTCTAAGTCCGACTCGCTATCCTTGATACACATACTGTAATTAGTCCAGGACACGTTCTCATCATTCTTCCACCAGACACCATTTTCTGTGCAGTATTTTGTTGCGAACGCTGCAATGTTGATTATAAGAAAGCAGAACATACTGGTAAGATAATCATTCAACTTGTAAACGACTGTATCTCTAACGTACAAATCATAAAAAACTAGACTTAACGTTACGTAAGCTTTATAAAAAAGTGCTTGAGAGACAATTAAATCAAATCATTATTCTAAAATCATGACTTTAAAATGAAAGTATATCAGAATGACGATGTTTCCTAGAATGTATCACATTTTTTTTTAGTTCTCTCTATAAATATTGTTCCATTTATATGGTTAACAACAGATACCATGTTTAATTAAGCTAGCTGACTATACTACTACACCGTTAGTGCGTTATAAGATCGAGGGTGAAATTCCATTTTTAGGTCAAGTTAAAATAAAAGAAGTTTTGGCAGTGGGTGCTTCTTTGACTAGCTGTCTTATCACTAGGATATTGGCATAAAATTAGGGACATTTACGCGAATATTGTCTTTGTATCGCTTAGCGCAAAATTACAAAAAAAAAACAAACAAAGAAACACATTCAGAGAAATAACAGCCATGTTTCTCTTAAACCACCTAAATTATTTCTAAAGGTCTGTATCCCCGGGGGCTCAGTGGTAAATATGAAAGTTATATCATTTAGAATTGGGTTTTCATACTCGCGGTGGGCACAGTACAGATAAATAGCTTGTTGTGCAGCTTTGCGCTAAACAACAACAACAACATCAACAAAAAGAAAACAAATGTAAAGGTCCATAATTTGCGTCCGTGGGTGCGTTATAAAAATGACGGTGAAATCCCATTATTCGATTGGAGTAGCCCACAAGTTAGAGATGGATGGTTGTGATTATCTGCCCTCCCTTTTGTCTATCATTTCAAAATTAGGGACGGCTAGAGCATATAGCCCTCGACTAGCTTTGCGAAATTCAATAAGCAACACCCTTCTAAAGGCAGTCAACAACGAGAAGTACAGTTGACTTTCAAGGTACCCTTGATTGTCATTTGAAAATACAGTGACTTCGAGTTTTTTGAGAATTTTTAAACCCATGGAACAGGCCTGGCATGGGCAGGTGGTTAGGGCGCTCGACTCGTAATCTGAGGGTCGTGGGTTCGAATTCCCGTTCCACCAAACATGTTCGCCCTTTCAGCTGTGGGGGCATTATAATGTGACGGTCAATCCTACTATTCGTTAGTAAAAGAGTAGCCCAAGAGTTGGCGGTGGGTGGTGATGACTAGCTACCTTCCCTCTAGTCTTACACTGCTGAATTAGGGACGGTTAGCGCAGATAGCTCTTGTAGCTTAGCTAACATTGTAAAGCTACATAAATAATAACTTATGTCTCAGTTTTGGCATGTTTAGAACTAAATATAAGTTTTTTAGAATTCGTAAATCACTAGGACATTGTGAAACAATATAAATAATTATTCATATCTCAACTTAGGCATACTTAACATGAAATATAACATGTTTTGAGAATTTTTAAACCCATAGGATATTGTATAATAACATAGATAATAATTTGTGTCTCAATGTGGGCGTGTTTAGGATGAAATATAAGATTTTTTTTGAGAAGTTATAAACCCCTAGGACATTGTAAAACAATATAAGTAATTATTTATGTTTTAACGTGGGCGTATTTAGGATGATATATAAAACACTTGTGTGAAACGTTTATGAGAGGTTAAGTGTGTCTTCAATTATTTCTGATGATCCTCATGAGATGTCAGAAATTCTGCGACTCCAAGATCCACTGGCCTAGTGAGAATATACTGAAAAAGTTGTTTTTGAAGCAAGTATCCAACTTTGTATGTATTTTGCACTAGTTTTGTTTGTTCAGGATAAAGAGTCTAGCTGAAAGCAAATATTTGTCTGAAGAGGAACAAAAAAAGGAAAACGAAACATCTTTCATGTTAGCTTTTTGTCTTCCTTGCACTCTCTTCAGTAGAAGTGCTCGCTGGATCATCATCAGGATTTACGTCTTGTGTAGACCTGGGGGGGGGGGGCTCAGGTGTAGTTTGACTTCTTCCGCTCTCTTTGATTGTTATTTTAATAGAGGCTTGTAGTCTTTTTGCTTTATTGCCTATTTTTATTTTCCTTTTCAATGTCATGTCTATGAATGTTATTCACCGGTGTAGGTGAAGCTCTAGAATGGGGGACTTTTATTTTTACATGATTGTATGGTATTTGGGCCCAAGAATAAGTGTATGATGTGGGGAATAACAAGTATAAAGTGTTGTTTAGCTATTTCCTTTATGAGTGTGAAACTATCTGTACTGTTTTGGGGTTTCTGTGCTGTTCTATGAAATCTATGAATGTATTTTTAATGGCTTCGAAGATGGGATTTGGTTCGGTTTCAAGTGTGTTTGTTGGTTGGTTTACTATGATTGGATTTTTGTTTTGTTGTACATTTGAAATGTTAGGTTGTTTCTGGATTTGTTTTGTTGGAATTAGCGTTTCTTTGTTTAGTGATTGTGGCCGTGCTGCCTCTGCATAAGTGCATGTTGTAGTCTGTAATGGTGTGTGTAAATATAAATGGGTAATCCACACACATACGCGTGGTTCTCACCTGTCCAGGTAAATGTGAGTAAGCCACACGCACACACATGGTTCTCTCATATCCAGGTAAGTTTAAGTGAGTAATCCACACACACATGGTTCTCACCTGTCCAGGTAAATGTGAGTAAGCCACACGCACACACATGGTTCTCACATATCCAGGTAAGTTTAAGTGAGTAATCCACACACACATGGGTTCTCACCTGTACAGGTATATTTTAGAGGGTCATCCAAAGACAATGGTTTTCACCAAAGTAAGTGTAAGTGAGTTGAGGTACAGTCTTGGTCAAAATATTTGCATACTGTTCTATATTGATGATATTATTATCTACATACAAGGAGTAGTTATTGAGTAAAAGCTCGAGTAGTAACAGAGAAGATAGCGCGTGATCGGACAAACATGTACGATTTGTTATTCTGGTCTGTATAAGTTGTTTTGAACATTTCGTCAAAACACACATACACACCTATTTTGTATAAAAGGGTGTACTTTTGGTATAATCTTTTCGAAACATATCAACGCTTTGTTCAAATAATTTCTTTGAACTTGGTGTAGAATCATGCCTCGTCACGTGTCAGAAGTTATAGGCGTCAAATTGTTCGACTGTCCAGAAATAGTATTAAGCAAACGGACATTGCCAGGATAGTAGGATATCTCCAATGTACTGTATCTATCATCCTGAAACGTTATCGGACTACAGGTAGAAACGTTGTTCCAGGAAAGTCTACTGGTAGACGCCGAAAAACTACTGCCCGAGATGACAGTGTTTTGATCAGGTTAACACGTCAAGGTCGAAAGGAATGGAATGAAAACATTCATTCCAGGATATCCAGAAGAATAGTGAATAGGAGAATGACTAAACAAGGTTATTTTGCAAGAAGGGCTATCTGCAAACCGATATTAACCAGAATTCACCGCCGTCACCATGTTACTTGGGCAATACAACATGCCAACTTATAGTTAGGACACTGGCAACATGTCATCTTTTCAGATGAGTCCTGTTTTCGGCGTGTTATAGCTGATGGAACGATTCGTGTTCGTCGTTTGCCTGAAGAACATATGAAAGAAGACTGTCTTTCTCACAGGTAACACACAGGAGGTGATGCAGTACATGTTTGGGCAGCTATTCATCATGGTGTAAACGTCAATGGCGCCTTCTACAGGCATCACATGGAGACGATATTACTGCCATATGCTACGGCAAGGTTTGGCAATAGCTTTGTATTCCAGGATGACAATTACACTGCCAAAAGTGCGTTTAATGTACAGGATTATTTCGACAGGAGGACGTTACAAGATTACCATGGCCAGCAGTCTTCAGGTTATAATCCCAATGAGAACTGTTGGGCAGAACTGAGCCGGAAAAATATCTAACTACGTCATTTAACTAGCTTCTAGGAACATAACAACTTTCTTGATCAATGGATTATGTGAAAACCACAGAAAAACCTGAATGAATTAACAATTAAAAATTTTTCATATGAAAACAAGGGGATAGCAAACACATGGTATACTCGCATACCACAATCGTAACATCGAAAAGCATTTATTTATGATATGCTGCTAACTATAAGACTTATTTAGTTCACTCATTTTTGGAATGATCTCTACAGAAATTAACTAAACAAAAGTGTTTTCCTAGTTCTCGAATGTAATAATTAATTAAGTAAATATATGAATACATATTGGTCGTGTAAAAATTTTCGTTTTGAGGTAATATCTCACTAAGCTTGTTGTAGGGGTAAGATAGTACCAAAACAAAGATAAGAACGATTAACATCGATATATGTATTTAGTTGTTATATTTATACATTTACGAACCTGGTATAACAAAATCGTTTTCCATCAGCTTTTCGGAAAACATTTCAAAATATTTGAATTTGGTTTACATTCATATTAAAACTTATTGGTTGTCATTTTATTTTGTTTACATTAGAAAACGTAACTTATGATCTTCTTATTACTGTTCTTGGGTAAATATTATTCACATTACTTTGTTTCTCTCTACATCAGTGTACACAATCCATTAACAGTTTTATCACAGACCCCAGGCAGAGTTTTGACTCAACTTCACATTCGCGAATGTTTTTAAAGACCAAAAAACCAAATTACATCAAATGCCGTATGTGAGCGTCGCGGATGATGTCGTCCTACTTAAAATAAATATCAAATAAACAGGCCAACGTTGGAATGTATCACAGGAAATCCATCAGCTTAAGTAACTAGAAACTACACTTTAAGAAAAAGAAAATACAGAAGTATATTGATTTATTAGCAAAATGATATTTTCTGAAACCAGATAATTAATCAATGCTCTAAAATGGCTAATATGCAAATGAAGGTTGTACACATATTGTGACTTTCTCAGTTTTCTGGTATAAGAAGAATAAAATGTTTTACATCTGCGATGGAAATGCATTTTCACTAAAAGTTATGAAGATTAACCATCTGAATCATTACAAAGTCAAAT